GGGGGAAGTGGGTGAACAGCTGTGTTGGGTGCTAGCCAAGGTTTAGCACAGTGAAACTATCACAAAATACCACCAGGGAAGCTGACTCCACCACCTCCCTGGGCTGCCTGTTCCAATGCTTGAAAACCCTTTTGGTGAAGAAGTTTTTCCTCATATTCAACCTAAACCTCCCCTGGTGCAACTTGAGGCCATTTCCTCTTGTCCTGTCACTTGTTCCTTGGTTGAACAGACCCACCCCCACCTCTCTACACCCTCCTTGCAGGGAGTTGGAGAGAGCCAGAAGGTCTCCCCTCAGCCTCCTTTTCTCCAGGCTCAACAACCCCAGTTCCCTCAGCCACTCCTCATAAGACTTCTGCTCCAAATGAATCCAAATAAACAAAACATAAACAAAATTTGATCTGTTTGAAGCACAGAGGCACCAGATCTCTGTGTGTCTTGCCCACTTCCTAGCAAACACAGGACTGCTGGGATTTCTGCAGCAGGGCTTGCATGGAGCCAGCTGAGCAGTGGCAAAGACATGATGGGAGATGCAGAGACCCCTTCACACATTGTGTCTCATGCAGAGCAAGGGCTCAGGATAACAGGGGCTGTCTGTGTCATAGGGGCTGGCCACCTGCAAGGAGATTTGCAGGTGGAGGACTTCTTCCCTTGCCAACACAGGGAGGTGCACACTTGAGGGCCGTTGCTCAGGTATGATTATTTTGCCTCACTGCATGTTGTCATGGCAGCTTCTTCACATGTACTCTAAGAGCTGTGGCTGCACAGTCCCGCGGGTTGTGCTACTGCAGGTTCTACCTCCTCTGTCCACCACAGCTCCCAGCTCAGTTTCCTGGTTGGATTCAGCCATTGTTGGACAACAAGACATACAATAACTGTCATCAAATCCCTGGCTCTTGGCCCAGGCTGCTTCTGGTCCCATGCTGTCCAGGGAATCTGGCATCCAACCAGAGAGTCAGTGCCAGCAATGAAGAAAACACCATAAGAATCTTGGAGAGCACAGCCCGGGGCTCTGCCAAGACCATGATCCTCATGCCTGGAGGCACTCATTGTATTAGGGCATGCAGCCACCATGCCATCTAGCATGCGGCAGAGCTGCCCATTACCCTGCCCTCCAAGCTGGACTGCAGGGGAGAACACAGGCAGAGGTTTATGAGGGCTGAATTCAATTCAGTAAATAAAAGAGGTTTGTTGTACCTTGGATCTAGTCCATCTGTAGGCTGAAGCATCTCCTGGTAGACGCCATTGGGAACATCCTGACCAAGGTCTCCCAAGCCCAGGAAATTCAGCTCCAACCTATTTTTAAATGCCTGTTGGGTCCTCTAGGTTCTTCCATCCAGAGTGGAATGGTGCTCAGGATACCATATCTGGTATCTCATATATCCTGATATCTATATCAGGATACCATATCTCAGGATACAAATGGTGCTCAGGATACCATATCTGAGCAACCACTCCCCATGGTGGTCCCTCTGCAAACCTATCTGCTGGGCTGGTAATTACTCCCATCAAACATTCTACATGCCTACGGTCAACCCAGGAGCTAAAGTCCTCCCATAGCCCCACTGCTCATTTGCCTGGGGATGCTCCGATACCCTATTTACCATGTGTTGACTTGCCTTTATTGCCCTGCGCCAACCAGCCATGGTCAGATGCCCCATATGGGACCACAACAGAGCTCTGCCTTTGCCTTCTTCCCTTCCCTATGGCTGCCATATCACAGCAACAGAGCTTCCCCACCCTACCAGCCCTCAAAGAGATGCCTCTGTCAACAGACAAGAGAAAGACCAGTCCAACTTACTTTACTGAGAGGGGAAAATAAATGAGCACAAAACAGAAAAAAAATAAATGTTGCAGAACCTGCACAGAGTTAAAGGAGTGCAAACCTGAAATGTGCTCCCTTCCCTCATTCCCTGTGTGGGCAAGGTTCCTGCTGGCTGTCAGCAGACAGGAGTGGGTGGCTGCATCCACCTTGGGTGTGTAGGATTTCACTGTCGTGTGCCTCACAACATGCATATTTCTACAGTTGAGCAGGGAGAAACTAAGCCTCCCAGATTGGGTGTGATGCTCACCTCTTGCTAGTTGATTACAGCTGCTCTCCAGGGCACTGTAGCACCTCGATTCCCATCTCCTTCTCTCCTTCTCTCCCACTGAAACATTTTGTCTTCCTTTCTCAGGGCTCTGAGAGCACTAATAACTCACAGGTTGCTCACAGACTGGTGGCTGTGGTTTGGGGTGTTTATAATCACTGTAAGAAGCAGGAGCCAACCTGTCACTGAAATCAGGAATGAATGCCTTAACACCAATGTAGTCTTAAGAAGCAGGCGTTCTTTATTGCAGCGCTGGATGCATGGGGGATTGTTCCACCTGTTGTGCCTAACAACTCTGCAAAAGCTTTATACTATCAAAACATGCATATTCATTACTTTTCAAAAAAATTATTAATATGTTCATTACATTTCCAGGAATCCATTAATATATGTAAATATCCTTTTTGCATGCACACTGGAGTCTCTTGGTGGTCTTTGGGGGGTCCACTGGTCATCATCAAAACTTTCCTCACTGTGCCCTTTAGTTGAACTTTTCTTCTGCACATGCTCAGTTCATCTCTTGGCCTGTTTACAACACTTCTGTTTTCACAAAATTGGTTTATTCTACCATCACTACCTTATCTACTCTATTGCAAAGATGTGGCACCTTAAAATTCCCAGTTATCTATTTTAGCTTAGCTAATATTTGACTTTTACTACAAACTTGACTAGGCCCAGCAGATATGTAACTATCTTTCAATGTCACATTGTTTAAGCAGGAGGGGATGTTCTTTCGGAATGGTATCAAACCAACCAACTCCCTGACTGTGCCCTTTCCAGCCCAATGTACAGCCCAGTACATCTGAGATTTACATCGCACTTGAGCTGTGGGGTGTCAGGATGGGTCAGAAACCCAGGAGGCCTCCAAGGTCTGGTATCTCCAGCACCCTGCTAAATCATGAGCCTCCTTGCCAACCTGTTCGTCACCCCAGACCAAGAGGACGTGCTGGATACAGAGAGCATCCTGGTGAGCACAGCTCTACTTGCGATTCCTGACTGCTGATAGGAAGAGCATCCCTGAGCAGAGGGGACTTCTCAGTGGCCTTCAGGGTGGGAGTCCTGTTGTGAGGGTTCTACTTCTCCTTTGGTTCATAGCTACACATCTGTAGTTATTTGGTTTCTCTAAGTTCTGGTTTAGTCTCTGTATCTTAGGGAGGACTCTTAGGGCTTGCTGGTGGTGGACTAAGGGGAAGGGCAGTAGCATAGTGCCTGTAACTGAACAGCCAGGGATGGGACATGAATTCTCCTCACCCTAAAAGCCCGTTCAGTTGCTGGAGAGTAAAACAAGAGGGGAAAAAAAAAAAAAAAAAAAAAAAGAGGGGCAAACTGTTGTATTTGAGACACCTTAGACACCTTTCCAGCCTTGGATGTTCTCATCACCCAGCTGCTGTTGTGTTTCTTCCCACCTGGGCTCCTGGTGGAGTTGGACTGGAACATGAATTCAGGAGGGGTGTCCTTGTGTAAGGGACAAAAAGAACAGATGGTTTGTCTCAAACCTTTCTGTTGTAAGAAATGCAATTGTCTAAGGACTCCCTTGCTGGTAAGAGGAACTGTGAGATACTCCCTTGCTGATAAGAGTTAATGTCTCAGGCATTATGATGGAGGGTTTTTGCATAAAGGCCCGAGGGAGGTGCAGGGCAGGTTCTGCATATTAATGATGGGCTGCAAATCAGGGGCTCATGACCACCCCCCCTCATTAACATCTGCATGGAAGATCATGAACCTTCTGGAACTAGCACCATGTAAAACCTCAAGAAGGCATAGCTGGGGGTGGGGACTAGACTATAAAAAACACAAACCAAAAGGACTAGTGTGTGCCCATCACTGGAGAATCTGCATGGAAGATCACTGGATCCAAGGGTGGTGATACCTTTTTCCTTTTCTTACTCTTTCTCTCTTGTCCCTTTTTTTCCTCTCGTTCTTTCTTTTTTTTCTTCTTATTCTTTTTTTCTCTCATTATTTCCTCTCATTATAATTTCTTGAGACTATGGGTAAATTTATCCAAAGTTGCACTACATTTAAAGTTATTGTGCAGTTATTGTTGTAGTTGCATGGGTAGGTTGATTGCATTTTAATTTGCATGGGTATGGTTGTTATTCATTACATCAGAGGTCAGGTACTATTGTTGTTGTTTTATAACATGAAAGATTGCATATTCCTTTGCCAGGTAGCCCTTTATTCAAATAAAAGCCATTAATCGTACTTCAGTATTGGTGTATCATCTCAGCCTAACCCTGCTGGGTGGGATGAGACTATTTTGACCCAGAAACGATGTGCAAAGAATCAAAAGATCACCTCCCACTAACCTCACCAAACGGGACAGGACACCTCAGGCTTTACCCTGTCTCTTCCCAGTGCATTACAGCTGGGTGGACATCACCTCACAAAGCTCGCCCAGGGGGACCATCAGCACCTCCTGCACAGATGAGCTGGGCTCAGCTGGTAGGTAGGATTTGTCCCACCCGTCCTCTTTTTCTCCCTTTCCCTCATCCAGGTTGAAGACAAGCTTCAGCTTCTCTGGCTGCATGGAGTTCAAGATGATGATGCCCAATCCCAACAGCAGGCACAGCAGCCCTGCAATGCACAGCATGGGGAGACACGTTAGCACCTCCTGCCCACTGTGTCCCAGCCCCATCCAGACCTGGATCTGGGGTTGGAGGTCAACAACATGTAGCATCACCCAGGAGGTCAAGGGAAAGTGTTATTTCCCTCTCCACATCTGGACTCTGCCATCAATTTGAGCTCCCCAGTACAAAAGATGAGTCAATGAAGTGGAGCAGATGACCAAGAGAGTTGGGGCTGGAGCCCACCATGTGTGGGGAAAGCCTGGAGGAGCTGGGCTTGTTTAGCCTGAAAAAGAGGAGTCTACACGGGGACCTAATTGCCATCTTCTGCTACTCAAAAAGACCCAGTCTCTTCTCAGAGGTGCATGGCTATAATGTGGGAAATTCTGGGCTGATAAAAGGAAAAAATTGCTGCCCATGAGTGGGACAGCTGTGGGGCAGATCCTGAAAGGCAGCGGGCATCTCTAGGCATGGGGACATCCATCACCAGATTGAACAAGGCTGATGTGGCTTTGAGGATAGCCCTTGTCTGGGCAAGGGTGGGAAGAGACACCTTTCAGGTCAGGTCTTTCCCTGACTGCGATTCTTGACTTTCATGGCACTCCTCTGTGCACACCTCCATGCAATAACTGTCAATTCAGATCTTCTGGCTGCTCAGCTCTTTTTCCCCCAGTCTTGATGATGCTATCCTAAATACTTTTATGTCATTTAAAAAATAATCCTTTTCTGTGACCAGCCATGGAGACAGAAGAGATAAGACACTATTGGGGCATCACTGAGCATCATCACTGCAGAGATGGAGAATTAAAGCCCTAGGAGCAAGCTGAGCACTCACCTGTCACTAATGTCAGCCAAAAGGATCCACCATAGCCTGTTTTGAGGGAAGCTGGGCCAAACTGGATGGGACACTTTGGGGTGTTCCTCACAATGAAGAAGAGCAGTGAGAAGAGCATCAGTGTGGCAGTGAGCAGGAGCATGTAGCCACCATAGAGCAGGATGGGCATGGAGAACAATAGGATTGAAATGAGCCATGTGCAAAAGGCCATCCTACAAAAGGACCACAAACTGAGCAGAAAGCATCATACTTGGAGCCTGTTCTCAGGTTCTCCTCTCCACATCCCAATGAAGCAATACAGCCCTGGGCACCCTGCTCTAACTGGCCTTGCTTGAGCAGGTGGGCTGGACAGGCTGATCTAAGGATGTCCTTTCTAACCCAAACCATTCTGTAACTGCATGAATGGTGGAGTTGTGGGACAGGTCCTGCCGTGGTGGAGGGGGATGTCCACACTTGGGGACATTCAGTGTTGAACTTCATGAAGCCTGAAGCACCTTGATATGGCTTTGACATCAACCCTGCTCTGGGAGGGGGCCTGAAGTAGAAACTTCTGGAGGTCCCTCCAAATTAACTCTTTCTCTGACTCTTGTGGTCCTCTGCAACTGGCTGCCCCCAGGCCATTCCCACCTGCTCAATGGAAATAACAAAAAGGGAGACCCTTGTTTGGAGAACAGCACAATAAGCCATGCCTACACCTGATTCAGCACCTGGAGTGGACCCAGCTGCCAGCCCTGCCCTGTGCGTGGGGTTTGGCTTTGGCTTGCTGGGGAGCTGAGCCTAACAAATTGTTCTGATTCCAAGAATAATAATGAAAAATAAGTTTACATCAACACCTCTGCCTTGAACTACTCCTTCTCTGTAGCAGGAAGGTTTGGGCAGAGCTAGTTATTTTTTGTGAAAATAAAAAGGAGATGTGGGCAGGGACCTGGAGCCTATGTCCATAGAGGGAATTGCAATAATTTACTCTTCGAATCATAAAATGGTTTAGGTTGGAAAGGACCTTTAAAGGTCATGTAGTCTGATCTCTACTGCAGTGAGCAGGATCATCTTCAATTAGATCAGGTTGCTCAGAGCCCCATCCAATTGAATGTTTCCAGGGATGGGGCTTCTACCACCTCTCTGGGCAACCTGTGACCGTGCTTCACTACCCTCAGTGTAAGAAATTTCTTTATATCTAATCTAAATCTGCCCTCTTTTAATTTAATACCATTACCCTCATCCTATGGCTACAGGCCCTGCAGTGCCTTTCCCATGACCTCTGAGACACGTGGGGATGCTCTGAGATTCCATGATCACAACATATATAAGGGCTCTCAGCTTTACACCACAAGACAGCCTCTGGTCACCCTCTTGACGGTCCCTCCCACTCCCCACCAGCAGGTCTCATGCCCTCCTGGGCATGCAAGAGGAACCCTGCTACAGCTGGGCTCTGTATCTTGCTTGGGAGAGGACCTTGCATCATAAGCCCTACACAGTTGCATTTTTAAACAAAAAATATTTTTTCTCCATCTGCAATTTTACACATCAGGGCAGAGAACACAGAAGAGGATTCTGGGGAGATGGGCAGGCCAGGAAGCATGAGCATCCCTGGTTCTACAGAAGGGTGGGTACCAGAGACCAGCCAAGGCTTTGACATGGCCTTACAGGGAAGAGGGTGGCCCCATCAAGCTCCTTCTGCTCTCCCTGGTTCTTTCCACCTCCCCACTGAGCAGAGTTGGGCTGACCTCTTGCTCTAGCTTACCACAGTGTGAGGGATACATAGTGGCCAGAGATGCGGTACTGCCTGTTCATGCTGCAGGGGCTTTGTGTAGTGAACTTCTCTGCCACGTAGAGGATGGGGCTGGGCAGCCCTTTCTCCAGGGCTTCACCATAGCTGTGGTCATAGTCCGCAGTGAAGCTCCAGGCAAAGTGCTCATTGTAGTTGATGGTCTCATTGACCTGATTCACTGGGTTTCCTGCCAGATGATGAAGAATAAGGACCTTTCTCAGCTCCAAGACTTCTTGGTTTGGGGGCTCGAGGGCCCACAGCCCCAGTACCCAGGTGCAAGGCTGGTACCCACATTTGCACCCAATCCCCTCCTGTTGTGATATGCACTCACCCACCAGTGTGACATTCAATCCCGCCAAGCCAATGTGCAGCCCAATGTCTGCATTCACCAGGGCACGGCTGAAGGACTTGTAGGAGGTGTTTGCTGTCACCCAGCTGGTCTCCCAGTCCCTGGTGAACTGTATAGCTGTCAAGACTTCAAAGGTTAGTCATGGCCTGACAGTGAGATATTTCATACTGGAAGCACCTGCCATGATGGTCACCTTGGCCTTAGCATCATCTACACCAACCCAAGGGCAAGGTCTGAGTTGTGAGCCTCAAGGAGCAGAAGCCTTGTATGTCCTTTCCCAACATCAACCCTGACCTGTGACCCTGAGAGCCCCACCTGGGTTGGTTTCTCCCTATACCTAGCACAGTCCCTATCCCTAGAGGAATGGGGCTGATGTATGGGCACTCTTCAGGCCCTGGTGCTCATCTAAACACCTGACAATTTGTCTGGGTCCCCTGGCAGTTGCTGGTGGGCTTTTGGTGACTGACCTGGAAGTGATCTGCACATTTGACCACCAGCCTTCACAGATGAGACAGAGGGATGTTTGCACCTCCTACCACTTGCTGGAGCGAGGTCCCTGACACAGATGGGGGTTGGTTTTCCCCATAAACCCATCCTGAGGGCTGGACTCCATGCTTGGCTGCTCTCTTCACCCTCCCTCACCTTGTTCTTCCATCCCCCATGTCTTGGGCATCCTTGAGCTTCCCCTCCCAGGACCCCAGTACTCACTGAGAATGACTGCTCCCACGAGAAGGCCCATCACCACCCGCAGGAACCGGAAGAGTTGCTGCAAGGGGAGAGCAGAGTGGGGGGACAATTCTCAACTAGGTTTTGCCATGTGGACCTCAGCACCAAGCATGTCATCTAGAAATGACAGCTGGTGAGAAATGGGCCTGTCCCTCCCCTGGGGATTCACTCCATGGGCTCTGCAGGAGAGTGGTATTGGGAGGGACATGTGGCTGGGGCATCCCTGCCATGGGATGAGGGAAGCAGCAGGGAGATCCAGGCAGAGCAATAAGGTCAAAACAGCCTATTTGGGAAAGCTGTGCCATCCCCTTTCTGGGAAGGAGGACGGAGACCCTCCCTTTAAATAGTTCTGAGCTGGGATTTCCACACTTATCCAAACCTCACGTATTTGGATGTGTTGGCAGCTGGACAAAGCTAGAGATAAAAGCAGCAGCTGAGGGTTTGCAGTGTTCCCCCTGGGTGGGAGACACCTCTTGTCCAGCTCCGCTGCAAAGCCAAGAACTCAACTAATACAGGGTGTGAGAGCAGTGGGCTCACAGTGGAGTTGTTTGGCTGCTGCCCTGCAAGCAGTGCTGGGGCATGCATGGTGCACACCTTCTTTTATTAGGGTTTCAGGGAAGGTGGAGTGAGGTCTCTGAGCCTCACCCTGTTTTTCCACTCCTGCAAAATCACTCAGGTTTGTTCACAGCAAAATCCAGCCAAGCTCAGATCTGAGTGCCTCGTAAATTTGGGATGGTGGAGATTGGTGTGTCCAGCATGGGGGTACATACTGGGTTGGGCTGGAGCTCACCCCCATGGCTTGCTAGAGATCCCAGAGCCCCAGCCGTGAACCTGTGGGCATGTTTCCTACCCAAGTCTGTTTTCAAGTCTGGGAAGGAGGAGGCACGTGGGATGCACAGGGTTGAGTTTTCCTAGACCCTCCACTTACCCCCCTGCCCCGGATTCCTGGTAGGATGATGATGAAAGTGGCCAACATGGAGAGGAAGATGGAGAAAATGATGGCCTGGGTGGTGTCAAAGGGGAAGCATGCATTGGCGCCAGGGTAGAAGGGGAAGGAGCCATTCCACAGGGTCATCCTACTGCCTGAGACAGCTGGAAATCAACACTCAGAGAGACATTGGGTACAACATTACCTCCACGCTTCCACCCCACACAGCCTTCTCCACAGAGCCATCTCCTGACCACTTGCCAGTACACTGCTTGTCCCAGACACGGCTGTGCGTGTACCTCCAGTGCCCGTGCACATTGCAGTCCCGTATCTGGGTGTACACTCAGGCATCTCCCACTGGAGCCCTCCTTCTCCCCAGGGTACATCCCATAGCAAAGCAGGTTTGCAGTCAGCAGCACATCCACTGCAATGCTCAAATCGTCCCCGAGATGGGACAGTAAGGTGTGCACATATCACCGGGGCTCTCGCTCCCCTCCCCTGACTGTTCTCGACCCCTGGTCTCTTGTCTGTGCTCCCACTCTCCCTGGATCATCTCTTATCACACAGCCTGGTTCCTGCTTGCAGGTGTTGTGCTCAGGGTGCTCTGTGAATCACAGCACAAATAGGCTGCACCCCATGGGCTGCTCCTTACTGAGCCCTGGATGGAGGTAACTCCTTGCTGTCCAAGGAACCAGGAGTAACCCAGAGGGGACAGAAAAACTGCCTGTCCCTGGCAGCAGGGTGCCAAACACCATCTGCCCACCCTCTGTCCCAGGAGCCGGCTGGAAGCAACGCCGTGCCACAGTGGGTGGAGGGATGTTCCTCAGGAAGCCAGCTGTGGTTTTTGCCTTGGCACTTGACCAAGGCACTTCCCTGCTACAAAGGGCTGCTCAGCATCCCCTGGTAGTGGGGACTGTTCCAGTAGCAGCTGCAGAAACACCCATGTCCCCTTCCCCACGCCAAGCCTACCTCCACCACGGCCGCTCCCGAGGGTTGGCTGCCGTGCAGAGCTGCAGCGTGCTCCGGGATGCTGTCTCCCTGCCTGAGCTGCCTCCTCAGGCTGTGGGCAAGAAGCCAGTCCAGTGTGTCATGGTGATATTTCTCCCAGCATTTTTTATGGAGCCTGTTTCCAGAGGTGGTTGGATCATGCAGCCTTACCCATGGATGATTGGCTCCATCTGGCACTCCTGCTGAGCCCCAGGGAACGCAAAGGAGCTATGGGCTAGCACAGTGCCAGAGGTGAGTGATCCTGGAGGGACTTTGTCTTCTTTTCCTTGACTTTTCCTGCAGACTGGTGAAAAGTACAGTTGTCCCTTACAGCACGAAGACCATTGGGTTGCCAGGCTCCTCAGGAGCCTTCTGGGGAGAGTAGCAGAGGGCTTCAAATCCCTCACCTACACTGCCTGGTGAAGTATCCCAGCTAAGGTCATCTAGCATGGGTTGTGGCTGCACAGTTTCCACATTGACCCTTCTCCTGACTCCATCTACCCAGGGGAGGTTCCTTGGAAGGTCCTGGCTGACCTGTTGGTCACTAGGCAAGGTGACACAGTGGCTGGCAAGGGGAACCAGCAGAGAGGTACAGATCCAGAGGGGCTCCCAGCCCCGTTATGCAGAAGACGCTCAGGTTACTAACCTGACCATGGTGTGGAGGTCATGGACATTCAAGCTTTTGGGGTTTGCTCTCATTATTTGGCATCTGGTTGACCGAAGCAGGTTCCATTGATGCCAAGAGGTCCTAGCATGACAGAAACACTTTCCTAACCCACATCTGAGGGCCTCCCTCCAAAGCTGTCACAATTACTGCCATCCCCTGGGTATGTTTTTCTGCATCCCAGTGGATGGCCTTGCTGGGTGCCCTGAAAAGCCATGCTTCCCATTCCCTTGGCAGAGGGACATAAAAACAAGTTTTAATTCATGCCCAGCAGGAAATAAAGGCATTTCTGGACAAAGACTTTGCCATTTCACCTCAAGTCCCCCAAAAATTAAATAAAGGGTGGCAAGAGTGGTGTGGCTGGGAAGTGTGTGTGCAGAGCTGTGCTGCAGAGGTGTCTGTTGGTGCAGGCAATGCAAGGGATGTGGCATCAGCTCCAGGTCTGGCAGCATCTGCAAAGTGGAGGGAGATGTGGACTTCACAGCTAACAGCACAGGTCCTCACGTGAAGGCTTTGGACCTCTTGGGAAGGTGGAAATACCAATTCCTCTGGTGTGGGAGAGGGAGGAGGTGCCTGGTAATTGGCAGGATGATATTAATTAAGGCAGGGAAGATGCAACCATGTGAGGTGGTACATGGGATGAGAAGTGGTCTGACCAGGGTTTAGACCATCACTTGTTGCACTCCCCGGAGCAGGGAGAGGCAGCAGAGGGATGGGCTCTGCACTGGCTTGGCTAAACCAATGTATGAAGTTTGCCTGGGGAAGAGATTGAGGCAAAACCATGGGTTTTGTGCTGTTCAGATGAGCATCATGAACATGTTTTTTTAGGGAGATAGCCTATTGCCAAAAATGGAAGCAGGGAGGAAGAAGTTTCCCTCCTTCTCTAAAGAAGGTGCCTAGCAACACAACACTTGTGTGCAAGGACAATGAGGGAGCTCACAGGGCTTCTCTGGTTCCATTTGTCCCCAGCAGTGATGGAAATGGGGCATGATGGTGACGGGGGGATGCTCCCTTTCCCTGGGGTGCTGATGGGGTTGTAGGCTGGCAAATGTGGGAAAACTGCTGGGTTTACCCCTCTCCCAATACTCTGTATCCATGAAGAGGTCTTACAGAAAGCCTGAGGTGATGATAACTGGGATTTGTTGGGTTTTGGTTTTTGGGTTTTTTTTCCCTCGCTTTTTAATTTTCTGGGTATTTCTGCAGGTGTGTAGTTCATCGGATAGTTTCCAGGGAACAGGTCTGGGGACTTGTTCTTGCTCACCAGGAGCTCAGAGCCTCATGCTCATGGTGCTTCTCCCTCTGTCAGCACCCTGCCCTCGCTTGGGAAACCCTCTTTTGTTGGGAAGCTTCTGCTTCACTCACTTGCAAGATATGTATGGGGCGATTAGGGATGAGTCACCCCATTCAGGTCACCTGAAGGAGGTGAGGGTGAGGGGAGCGGCACCCATCACCGCTTGCACAAGCAGCCACATAGTGTTGGAACAGCCACCATCTCTTGGGATGCTGGGAACTGAGGCAGGGAAGGCACAGGGACATGCCTGGGCGGGGCGGCGGTTTTGGGGATGGAGCAGGAGCCCTGAGAAGCTGCCCTTTGCTCAGAGGATTTCTGCCTGAACCCACGGTGACAGTGGGACAAACGTGATGTTTGTGTCCAAGGTGTCACCCTGCTCCATTGGCTGTCCCCATCACCCCTCTGTCCTGGTCCCCAATGGGGAGGATACTGCAGCTGGGGTCAGGCTGGGGCTCTGTCTTGATGGAGCCTGTCCAGTGTTCATCCCAACACCCAAAGCTTGGATGCAGCTCCTTGCCTGGGACTTTTTGCAACAGCTGAATGATCCATGATGGAGGAGTTTGAAGGAAGGGACAGGAGGAAGAATGGAGGGACCCCCTCTGGCCAGTTTCCACCTAGCTGAGCAGAGATTTTCACAGTGCTGTGGCCATGGTTTGGCTCTAGGTATATTTGCAAAAAGGATCTATTTTTCCAGTTCTGTTTGGAAGTTACTTAAAGATTTTGAGGGAAGGGGAAGGTGTTACTGCCCACTACACTGCCCAGCAAGCTGGGTTTCACATCTCATGGTGGAGAGAGCTCAGGGTCAACCAAGAGGGCTGTGAGGAGATGGAGGCAGAGCTTAGGAGGAGACACCCACCATCCTAGTGGGAATTGAAACAGGAGGGATTTCAACCACATTTTGAGGGAATCCTCATCCAGAAATTGTGTTGCTTGTTCAGCCCTCTGCTCCTTCCAAGAGCCATCATGTAAGAGAGAACATGCTTCCTTTGACCTGGTCCTTCAGAAACACGTGCCAGGAAGAGCATCTTATTTGGGACTGCTCAATCATCTTTGCTCCCGGCCCTAAACAGGCTTTCAATTCCTGACTGTGCTGTTGCAAGTTCCCACATGTTCTCAGAGACCAAGGGGACAGAAACCCAGTTGTCCTGTTGCCCTTCTGAATATCCCCATCCCACCCAGAGACCCCATGTTTGACCCCGTGGGCACTGAAACCAGTGCCTGTGATGGGGAAGGGGACACCCTGATGTGGGGCTGGGGTTGGTCTTAGTTCCTTCCCAAGTGTCGTGCCTCTTGCTGGGATTTCCCAGCCTGGATGAAGGGCTGCAGGTCCAGCCCTTCTCTCCTGTTTCACAGGCCCCAGGTGCCCCTTCCAGGCTGCCCTGATCCCAGTGTTGCAGATCTGGGATCCCCCCCAGTTACTGGACCAGGGGGATTCAGGGAGGGAGCATGGGAGGGTCTGAGCAGGTACCCTGATGCAATGGGAGAATGGAGGAGAGGGGAAGGACATCTTTCATCTATCTTAGACATGATGTCTCTCCACTAGAGAGCAAGCCAGCTCCCAGATTGCCTCTCCAGCCTCATCCCTGAGGGTCCTGCTCATCCAACAGAGCTCTGCTGCCTGGGAATGAGTGTCAGGAAGTGCATTAGCCTTTGAGACATGTCTCATCATGGATTTTACCATCTCAGCTTGAGGAACCCTGTCCCCACAGATAACAGTCTTCCTGCCAGTTTGACATATCTATCAACAAGTTGAACTTTTCTATGCTTTGTTGGGGCTTGTTAATGATGTGCTGTGTGGTAATTAGCACTTTCATCCCAGGCTGCAACTTAGAGAGAAGCTTTCTCTTGCAAATCCTGTTGTTAGAGGCCTAATTAAAGTGATATACATTTTTCCATGGAGCTCCTGTCCCTAGTATCTCCCTGCCAGCCTTGAAACTAATGCACAGAGTAATGCTACCCCACCTCAGACCGCGATGCACTGTCTTGTGTGTGCTTGTCTGAGCACACACAAGTGCTCTGAACCCTGTGTCCTGGCTGTGGGTAGAAGATCACTTGAATAACTGTGTCTTCCATCCAGGCACATGTGCCAATCGGACATGGTGTCATAAGAAATCATGCATCTGTCTAAAAAGCAGTGAAGGGACACAAGTGCTGCTCCACAGTGTGTGGCCAGAAATATCATAAGACAAATTACAACCAACTGCT